CTCCCTTGCTGTTCCTCTTTCCACCTCTTCTTTTCCTTTTGATTTAAAGCTTCCGGTTATTTTGCTTTCCCAACCCATCGCAGTAAGCCCCCTTAACTGGCTTACAAACTATCACTCACTCCACCAAGCCTATAAGACTTATTACTTTGGCAAATCATGTTGAACATATATCATTTTTTAACAGACTGGCGGAATAACATTACGGTAGAGAATACCTTTCCTTTGCCGTTTGATGTCTTCAGCATTTGAGGGCATCTTGTTTCACAATAGTAGATCTGCGCAATGCTTATTATTTGGTCCGCATTAGAAAAGACAGTGAATAAAAAACTGCATTTAATACCCCAGGGGGCATTTTGAATATTACAGTATTCCAAGCATTCGTAAATGATGTGTTGAGAGATGTATCAGTTCATTTATGTCTACCTGCATGACATTCTGAATTGTTCCTGTTCTCTCCAGGAACATGTGCAACATGCCAGGCGAGTGTTTCAGAAGGTGCTAGAGAATGGGCTTTATGTCAAGGCGGAGGAATGCGTTTTTCATGCAGTCTGTTCCTTTTATAGGGCACATTGTGTCAGTCGAGAGAATGCGCATGGATGCACTGAAGGTTCAGGCTGTGGTAAATTGGCCAATCCCAGAGTACCACAAAGCCCTCCAGAGGTTTCTGGGTTTTGCAAATTTTTACCTGCATTTTATCCACAGCAACAGCCAGCTCATATCCCAGCGTGTGTCCTTGGACTGCAAGATGCATTCTTGCATGTTTTTTATTTTATTTTTTTTTCATCGATTATGTCCTACAGAACATACTTACGACATTGGTAATAGGAAGTTGTTGGCTGTCAAGCTAGCATTGGAGTGTCAATTTCTCCCCTGAAATACATTTTCACTGTGTGTTGGTCTATCACAGATGCCTCTGAGCCCAGAAAAGTTAAAGGCACTTCTGAACACTCTTAATATAGGATTACCTTTTGGCACAGTACAGTTTTAACTGGCATTTGTGGATGTAACTATGTGTTGTGGTACTTGGCAATTGTTGGCCAAAGTAATCCTGAGCCCATGTGGTGATATTGCTTATAAAATAATGATCTTGATGCAGAGGGATCAGGGATTACAGTTGTTTAGCTTAGGCTTGTGCACTTGACATTTACTTTCTGAAATTCCTCCAGATTGCCTAAATCTTTTAATTATGTAATGCCGTGTTGGTGATAAATATCTGAATGTCTTCCTCTATCTTTGAGAAACATCAATTTTTCAACAATTTAGCAACTTTCTCATATATTTGTTGGCAAACTGGCAATCCTCTGCCCATATTTGCCTCTAAAGGACAAGACATTTGTTGGATGCTGATTTTGTGCCGAATCATAATTACAAATCGCCTGTTGACATCAGCTGTTTAAATCACATAATTTAACTAATTAACCTGAATGCTAGCCCTAAATTGCGTCTGTCCCAAAGTTTTTTTGGAATTTTTTGCAGGCCTGAATGACAGAAAAGGATGGATATTTACAAATCAAATGAAGTTGACTAAACAATTCATTAAAAATGGTGTGTTCATGCTGTCTGAAATGAAATGCAATTGAAGTAAATTTTGAAAATTACAATTTTCTTTTTTTAATTAGCATTTCTTTTTTTATACTGCTCAAAAAATAAAGGGAACACTAAAATGACACATCCTAGATCTGAATGAATAAAATATTTATGGATGATTATATTTGAATGTGCTGACAACAAACTCACATAAGAATATCAATAGAAATCAAATTTATTAACCCATGGAGGTCTGGGTTTGCAGTGACACTCAAAATTGTAGTGATAAAACACACTAAAGGTTGATCCAACATTGATGCAATGTCCTTAAAACAAGTCAAGGTGTGTGTGGCATCCATGTGGCTGTATGACCTCACTACAACTCCTGGGCATGCTCATGATGAGGTGGCGAATGGTCTCTTGAGGGTTTTCCACCCAGACCTGATCTAAATCCATAAACTCCTGGACAGCCTGTGGTGCAGTCTGTGGAAACATAATGTCCCAGATGTGCTCAGTTTGATTCAGGTCTGGGGAATGGATGGGCCAGTCCATGGCATCAATGTCTTTGTTGTGCAGGAACTGCTGACACACTCCAGTTACATGAGGTTTAGCATTGTCTCACATCAGGAGGAACCAAGGGCCAATCGCATCAGCATATGGTCTCACAAGAGGTCTGATCATCTCATCTCGATACATGGAGGGTGTTGTGGCCCTCCAAAGAAATGCCACCGAACACCATTACTGACCTACTGTCAAATTGGTCACGCTGGATGATGTTGTAGGTGGCAGAACGATCTCCAAAGCTTCTCCATACTCCAGTGTCACATCTTTCATGTGCTTAGTGTGAACCTGCTTTCATCTATAAAGAGCACAGTGTGTTAGTAGTGAATTTGCCGGTCTTGGTGTTTTCTGGAAAATGCCAAACCTCCTCTATGGTGTTGGGCTTTAAGCACAAGCTCTACCTGTGGACGTCAGGTCCTCATATCACCCTCATAGAGCAGTCAGATGCACATTTGTGCCCTGCTTGAGGTCATTTTGCATAACTCTGGAAGCGCTCCTCCTATTCCTCATTGCAGAAAGGCAGAGGTAGCGGTCCTGCTTCTGGGTTTTGCCACTAAGTCTTTGCGGTGGACACCGTGGGAAGGCAGGACCTCATCCAGGACCTCAGAGGCACGAGGTGATTAAATCCACCCCGCCCCCCTTTCATGCCCTCTTGGGATCTCTCTGTAGTGTTTTTGATCCTGCGCAGAGATCCGTTTGAATCACTTGACTCAGGCCCCGTTTACACTAGTGCGTTTTAGTTTTAAAACGGCGTTTTAGAATGAAAACGATCCGCGTCCACACTCGCGTTTTACCCAGCGTTTCTGAACTGCTCTCCGTCCACACCAAAACGCTGAAAACGCACATCACGTGACCACACACACACTCTCAGGCAAGCGCTGCAGCCCATCTACCCAGATGAAGATCTGCTAGTGGGACTACTCATCAAGCATCTCCCGCTGGATCTAATCTCACTATATTTATTAAACGGGATATTTCATTCATCTTGTTGTCTTTATCTAACGATATATTCCCTGACTTTGGTCATTGGAATCTATTACTTGTTCTCAGGTAACGTGTTTTGGCTGAGTGCAAAGATAAGTTAATGATTAATGTAACCACGTAGCCTACTTTCTGTATATTGACTGATCGCTAGCCTTTAATTCCTATAATGTATAAACTTATTGTATGTTATACTTTTATAATGGCCATTATCGATAATTAAAACTGATATTCAGCAAAAGAAAGGGTGTTTCGTATATTCTCTGAAATTGAAAGGAGGCAGTTGTTATAGGCTCCGTTTTGTTATAAATATCCACACAGGGAAGATGACGTTCATGCAGCACGGCGCCTCAACATTTCTGCTGTCTAAGGTGCCAATATTAAAATAAAAATAGGCAGTTCCTTAAAACATGTTTACATTTTATTGTTGAGAAAGTGAAATAACGTAGCCAGGGTGATGTAAATGAAGTTATAAAGTACACTGTTCCCTTTAAAGATTTACGCGTGTCCTCGGTATAGTCTGTTTTCCATATCAAACTGAGAAGAATAGACTGCAGCCTTGATCAAACTTGCGAAGTCTGAACTTACAAGGAGAGAATGCAGGACTGAACTGTGTGTGTTAGGCTACTTAATATTGAGGAAAAGCCCCAATCAGAGAGGCGAATGTCTGCAGCCCCGCCTCCGTTTTCAGATGTCTCCGTTTTTGCTCATCCACACTGAGACGGAGCAGCAGCGTTTCAGAATGAAAACGGCCTCTCCAGCGTTTTCGAAACGCTCCGTTTTCGGCGCTCGAGAACTCCGGCGTAGTGTGGACGGTTGGCGTAATTGTAGCAAAACTTATGCGTTTTCAAACTAAAACACATTAGTGTAAACGGGGCCTCAGTATCCTTGAGATTTCTGTTTTTAAAGACCACTCTGCTGGTCGCGTTGGCATCGATCAAGAAGGTTGGCAACCTAGAGGCTTTTTCGGTCAGTGACTCATGCATAGATTTCAGATGGAATTTGGCTTTTTCTCTGGTGATCCTGAGACCACACTGTTTAAGGACCAGGTAGTGAGCCTGCAAGTGCTGCCTTCGGAGGTGGAAGACCCAGCCCTTTCATTGCTGTTTCTTGTTTGCGCTTTGCATATTTTTTTAGGGGTGTCAAAATTAATTGTTTGTTTGGTGCACTGCGATGCAGACGTGGACAATTCGGTATCTAATCAGTAATAATCACAACCGGTTATTGTGTACTGATGTCATTTATCTCATGTAGCTTACTATGGCGAAGGAGGCGAGCGCAAGTATTTACAACGCTCCAACTACTTAAAATGCAGAAACTGTGCACAATTTCACTGCGTGTGTGTTTGCTGGATCAGTCTTTAACTGACACTTACAGCAAAAGCCCCTATTTCACTGCAATTGAGGGAATGAAAGTACTCCATTTCTTACAACGTGTTGCTATATGGCAGTTTCAAATTGGAAAAAGTGAGTGGATCAGTTTACCCCCGGCTGGTTCACTTTACCCCTTTGATTTATTTATTTATTTATTTTTTTTTTTATTTTGGTCTGTCTCAGTTTACTCCGAAGCTGGGGTAAAGCGAGACACAAAAAACTTTTTTTTAAAACAATCATATTTTCACTTGCCATTATCCTAAAGTCTGATAAATTCCATTGCTAGAAAACATTCTGAATTATTGAGAAGTGTGTCAATTTTACTGATATATAATAATTGCTCACTTAGAGGGGAGGAAATGTAAAAAAGTGTCTCAATTTACCCCACTCTCCCCTACTTGGAGAGTTGCTATAGCTCAGATACAGTTGTTATATTTATTAAATTTCCCATTAATTGTGTTTTATTAGCATCTACCTTTACCCCAAACCCAGCCATCACAGTAATGTAAAAAATATTAATTACTGTAATACAGTTTCACCAAAATGATACTATATTAATGTGCATATTCAAAGCTGTATCCTATCTGGGCGTGTACTTGAACCCAATCTGCAGGCTGCAGATGGGTGTACTTGGCAAGCCGCCCCTGGATTAAAGTATATGTAAAAAAAAAAAACCCTAACAAACTTCTGTTTCCATCTCATTGCATGCAGGCTTCCTCTGCGTGAAGTGTTTTACCTTTTTTTAGTCTACATTATTTTCGACAGTCTTGCTTATGGCCATCTTCTTACTGGTTTTAAAGCAGTTATTCAACAAATGTCATCTTGGCTTCCTTTGCTACAGACTGGTAAATTCTTACTCTAACATTGCATAGCATATTGTTGCTAATTGTATTTTAATTTGAATAGAGTTGTTGGCTTATTTGGAAGTAAAGTAGTTTACATCAACAAATGATTGTAATTTTATGTAGGTGCTGTAGACTGTTATATTGCAGTGGTTTTCAAGTTGTGAACTGTACTACATATAGAATAGAATAGAAATTGGAAATAAATAAAACGAATGTAAAAAAGTGCATTTATAATCCGCCATTATACGTCATATAATGTCTCTATAAATGTCTTTTCATCATAACAGTTTAAACTGCGTCTGCATGCAGTGGCGTTTGAGTTGTATAAATATGACTTGATTATAACTTATGTGCTTAAAAGATTCACAGCAAACATTTTTTAGAAGGTAACAGACAAAATGAGAATGTGGAGTTTCAAAATCTTTTAAGGACAAGAAAGGAAGAGAAAACCAGTAACAAATCAGCTCAATTTATACATTTGTATTTATCTGTCTTTTTTTAAATTTATTTATTTATTTTTTTTAATAGAAATGAATCCAATCTGGTTTTTAAAAATGGCTAAATAAAAATTAAATCTTAAAAATATTTTTAGAAATAAATCATGATTCACATTGGGAACTATTGGTGTCATAGTCTGTGTAAACACTACTAATTTTGTCGAATTATACAGTGCTTAGCATAAATAAGTGCATTACATATTGAAAATGAATATTTTATTTATCTGTTTCTCAGTGAATATAGGTCATTTTGGAGCAGATTTTCTCTTTTTTCAGATTTGTATTTAATATTTTTCCCTAACACATACATTTAGGTGCACAAATTTTGGAATGTTATTGTAATTAAATAATATTTAAATAATTAAATAATTATTGTATTATTCTTGTCGTCATATTCTTGTTTTTCTCAAAACAGCTCAGCTGAGTACAATCTTAAAGGTGCAGTAGGTGATTGTCTTCAGAAACATGTTTTGTTGTGTTGATTGAAAGTCTCTTCACATTTCAATAATACCGATTGCAGTAAATGATCTAAATGTATTTATATGTATTTTTATATTCTGAGTGAGGCATAAAGCTAAAAAATGTTCATCCAAATAAATAGTGTAGGGCCGACATCTCCCATAAGTCCATTAAGTTGCACAATCTGTCTATTAAAAAATGCAGATTTGGGCTTTGTTCACGCATCTCTGGCATTACCGCGTGTGCACACCTAGGTGGGCTCACGCATTCACGACATATGCACACGAGACAGTCGCGGCAAAGTCAAATGCTGAATTGAAACTTTTTAAACTTCTAAATCAGTATTGGAGTTACTTTTGCACGCTGGAGGAAGGACAACACCACCACTGAAGTATTTCTTTTAGACAGGTAATGTTCTGTTTTAAAACTATTTTGGCTTCACACAGAGCTGATGCAGACGTTGTTACTAATGGGTGATATGCAGCCATGCTGTTCAGCCACTGAAATCTCCCGGTGAAAGATTGATGTGACTGTTTTTAGTTAAATAAGGTCCTTTCACAGCATCGATAATGTAGAGTTATATTTAGTTTAATAACAAAACATCAGTAAATAGCGCTATTCTGCCTAGCATGCTTAACTGAGCTGAAGTTGCTTTTTTTATTCACAGCATAGCCTGTGACGTGCTCTCGATATTGTTTACCATGCTACTCTGAATATTCGCTCTCAAATAGCATGTGTGTAGTAATGAGTGTAATTCCTCCTCCACCGGGCCAACCACTTCTAACTGGCGAATGACATGAACTAGTGAGTTGTCTGCTGTCGTGTAGTGATGGGCGCGTTCGCGATTTCAGGAGGCGTGGCTTTGAAACACAGTCCCTCCCTTGCCATCCAGAGCTAATATGCTAACCAATTAGCATTTTGGCAGATCAACTGCACCTTTAATTTTATTTTAAGAAGTACTTAACATGAACTTTAAGATCACTAAGTACCACATTAGTTGCTAAGAATAGAGCGCTTTAAAAAGTGCCAGACTACAAAAATATATTTTAGTGCAGTTTTTATAACATGCTGGGTCAAAAAAACACTTTAAATGGCCATTTTGCATTGTTGGCCAAATGTAATCCAGGGCTTTAATGGGGTCAGGCCGGGCCAGTAGCTCCAAAGCTCGAGCAACGAGGCCAGGTGAAGCCGCTTATTAATGAGGAAGTTTATAAGCAGCACCTGGAGGAGCCTCATCCAGTCACGGTTATACTAGACGTTTCTCACTATAGACTTCTATTCATATGCACGCGAATGCGTCAGACTGGAAACACAAGCTTGTGCGATGAGTTTTGCAGTTCGCTGCATTGCAAAGTTCAAGCTTGGCGAACTCTGAACTGTGAAATCGCATCATGTGACTGTGTGATACCAATCGAAGATCAAAACATGACCTCTCTGGAAAGAGATTTTAAATATGGACCTACATGTATGGCTCACTTTTTAAAATGTCTAATTATCTTGTTCAATCCCGCCTCTTTTCGTAGCACGGTACAACAAAATTTCACAAGCTCAAACTCTATTGTGACTGTGGCATTAGTGCCAAAGAGCACTAATGTAAGTGTGTAATATATCAGTCTGTGTGGAATAGTAATTTTAAAATTGTTGTCTCATTAAAACAACATTTCAGCAGAACATTAATCCAATTATTAATACAATATTTTGTTGCATGGGAATTTTGCATGTGATAAATTATTTTCTGTGTACTTAAAATAATTGTATCTGCATTTTAACAATTATGTTAGGATGACTTTTTAAATTTTAGCTTCACAAATAATATCTTTCTTCATAGATATGGCATCAGATTCCATTACTGTAGCAGCGCTTGGAAGACCTCTGTTTCCTGGCATGTTGTATGACTGCCGCAAGGATTCTTTCATTCCAGGTTGTGTACCAAGTCTTTGTACATTTCACCTATTTGTCAATAAACAAACACGTTTTATGGGATTATGATATGCAACAAGATGAAGTAGTCTTAGGCCCTGTTTACACTAATGCGTTTTAGTTTGAAAACGCATAAGTTTTGCTACGATTACGCCAACCGTCCACACTGCGCCGAAAACGCTGGAGTGACCGTTTTCATGCTAAAATGCTGCTGCTCCGTCTCAGTGTGGATGATGGAAAACGGAGACATCTAAAAACGGAGACAAGGCTGCAGACATTCGCCTCTCTGATTGGGGATTTTCCTCAATATTAAGTAGCCTAACACACACAGTTCAGCCCTGCATCCTCTCCTTGTAAGTTTTGATCAAGGCAGCAGTCTCTTCTTCTCAGTTTGATATGGAAAACAGACTATACCGAGGACACGGGTAAATCTTCAAAGGGAACTGTTTACTTTATAACTTCATTCACATCACCCTGGTTGTTTCACTTTCTCAACAATAAAATGTAAACATGATTTAAGGTACTGTCTATCTTCATTTTAATATTAGCAACTTAACAGACAGCAGAAATGTTGAGGCATCGTGCTGCATAATGAGCATCATCTTCACTGTGTGGATATTTATAACAAAACGGAGCCTATAATAACTGCCTCCTTTCAATTTCAGTAAAAATACGAAACACACCCTCTTTTTTGCTAAATATCAGTTTTACTAATCGATAATGGCCATTATTAAGTTTATACATTATAGGAAATAAAGGCAAGCGATCAGTCAATATACAGAATGTAGGCTACTTGGTAACATTAATCATTAACTTATCTTTGCGCTCAGCCAAAACACATTACCTGAGAACAAGTAATAGATTCCAATGACCAAAGTCAGGGAATATGTCGTTAGATAAAGACAACAAGATGAATGAAATATCACGTTTAATAAATATAGTGAGATTAGATCCAGCGGGAGATGCTTGATGAGAAGTCCGACTAGCACAGCTTTCATCTGGGTAGATGGGCTGCAGCGCTTGTCCGAGAGTGTCTGTGTGGTCACGTGATGTGCTTTTTTAGCATTTTGGTGTGGACGGAGAGCAGTTCAGAAACGCTGGGTAAAACGGGAGTGTGGACGCAGATCGTTTTCATTCTAAAACGCCGTTTTAAAACTAAAACGCACTAGTGTAAACGGGGCCTTAATGGACATTCATCATGTTCATTGTTTCTGCGTTTCTCTGCCACTTTTTACATTAGGTGTAACTCTGTGGGATAAAAAATCACTGCGTGAAGATTTGGACAGTCATTCACAGCTCCAGACAGATTTGAACTTCAGTAGCTCTGACTCTCTCTCTAGTAAGTCCAATCTCCTGGATGTGAGTGCTTCCTTGAAGGCCAGCTTCTTGGGGGGTCTGGTGGAGGTGGGAGGATCTGCCAAGTTCCTGCATGACACCAAATCATCACACCACCAATCCAGAGTTACAATGCAGTACAGTGAAACCACCAGATTTGATCAGCTCACTATGACCCATCTGGGCAAGATCACCTACCCTCAGGTGTTTGAGCAGAAAACTGCAACTCATGTGGTCACAGCTGTACTGTACGGCGCTCAGGCTTTTATGGTGTTTGATCGGACATTTTCAGAAGAGGAAAACAAGGAGAAGATTGATGGGGAACTGAATCTTATGGTGAAGAAAATCCCCAAATTCTCAATTGAAGGAAGTGGAGCTGTACATATGACAGATGATGACACACAAAAGATTGAGAAGATTACCTGCACGTTTTATGGTGACTTTCACCTTGAGCAAAGCCCAACTTCTTACATGGAGGCTCTTGATTTGTACAAAAAGCTCCCTTCTCTGCTGATGGAGAATACAGAGAATGGAGTTCCAATCAAAGTATGGCTTTATCCTCTTCATTTATTGGATTCTAATGCAGCTCAATTGGAGGCAAAGATAAGCACAGGTCTGGTTTCTGACATTGGATGTGTAATGGAGGAGCTAGGAGAAGTAGAGAGGACATATAATGACCTGTCCAGAAATACACTGGTAAATAATTTCAGCAACATCAAAGAGAGGCTGTATTTATTTCATAAGACTTTTAATATATATAAGGCAGAGCTCCTGAAAGATGTTGGCAGAATCTTGCCTGCTATTCGAGGAGGAAAAATGAAGGAAATATCACTAGAAGAAATCTTGATCCACCGTGACTTCCCTGGCATGTTTAAGCAGTGGTTGAATGATGCAAAGTCTGAATTTAACCTCTTGAGTTTTTACATTAAGGGGATCAAAACTGAAGATTCAGACAATCTCAACACCATCCTCCTTGATCCTAATATTGATTTTGTGGTGTGCTTGACCCTCACTTCTCTGAATGAAGACTTATATCTTCAAAGTCTGAGGGAGTTTTTAAAATCTGACAAATCTAAAGAGTTAGATGGTAAACAAAAAAGGGTGTCAGTGACTTCTGCGACAAAGTGGTTCAATGATTCTGCTATCATAATAAAGATGAGAGAGAACTTATCCCTTTTCAGAAGCTTTTCAGAGGCAAATAAAGATGAAAATAGAATCTGCTTCCTCATTTCTGCAACATCTAATACACTCAGCCCAGGATCCTCCATCTATCTATATGAAAAAGGGAAACTGAAAAGCACAGAATTTCAGCCTGTGTCCAAACCTCCACCACTGATAGTGAAGAATGTCCATGAACAGACTGTGTCCCTGAAACTGCAGAAGTCCCCAACTGGAGAAACAGTGCAGTACAGAGTGGAGTACAAGCAGGTAAAAGCAGAATCTGAAGCTGAAGAACAGTGGCTTGTCATATACACAACTGATGAAGACTTTACTCTGACTGGACTGGAGTCTGGAAAGCCGTACATGATCCGCTACAGGATAGTGAGTAGAGTGGGAGTGAGTGAAGCAAGTGAGACGGTCAATCCAATACCTATGTCATGTAAGTGTCATCTCAAATTTTGTGATTATTTAGACCAGGGGTGTCCAAACTCGCTCCTGGAGGGTCGGTCTCCGGCAGATTTTAGTTTCATCTTGCCTCAACACACCTGCAGGGATGTTTCTAGAACAGGGATGTCAAACTCAGTTCCTAAAGGGTCGCAGCTCTGCACAGTTTAGTTCCAATCCTCATTAAACACACCTGATTAAACAAATTGAGTCCTTCAGGCTTGTTCGAAACCTACCAGTAAGTGTGGCAGGGTGGGAACTAAACTGTGCAAGGCTGTGGCCCTCCAGGAATTAAGTTTGACATCCCTGTTCTAGAAAGTCTAGTACAGTGGTCACCAAACTTGTTCCTGGAGGGCCGGTGTCCTGCAGATTTTAGCTCTAACCCTAATCAAACACACCTGAACAAGCTAATCAAGCTCTTACTATACTTGAAACATCCAGGCGGGTGTGTTGAGGCAAGTTGGAGCTAAACCCTGCAGGGACAACGACCCTCCAGGACAGAGATTGGTGACCCCTGGTCTAGTAAGTGCTTGATTAGCTAGACCAGGCGTGTCTGATTGGGGTTGGAACTAAACTTTGCAGGACACCAACTCTCCAGGACACCCCTGATTTAGACATACAGCATTGATATCTAAAACATCATTATTACCATCCATTTGTTCACTGTGAAAATTTCTTTGACGTGAGGAAACCATGTACAAATGTTTTATTGAAGTTCACAATAAAGAGTAAAACCAACTGACAAATTCCCAACTAGAAAAATACTACAAACTATAAAATACTATTTGTGAAAATACTTAAATAACACACAAATTCAAATGCCCAACACAAGCGAGTTGCATTCCAGACCAGATCAGCTCGATGACGTACAATGTCTCCAACACCCCCTGTAGTCCCATTTAGCAACTTGATAGCAACCGTCTTTTTAAAGAAGCATAGCCAATTAAAAAAATCAAGAGTGTGCTGTAACTGATGTGTTTTTATTTTGTAGAGTAAAACGTGAAAGTATCTTGAGTTTGTGTTAGCCACAAACCTTATTTAAGCGATTTAACTCAAATCCCATTGAAAATACCCATTGACTTTGGGACAAGGGAACCGGAACTGCTAAAATGCTAACTCGATTTCGGGTTTTTGTAAACAAATTGATGTCATAGTTCCTCCACTCTATAGGGGGATAAGCAAATAGTACTAAACTGTACAAAAGAGAAACAGATTCATACAAATTAGCCACTAAATCAAAAAGTTACAAATTGCCAAGACAATGTGTTGGAAATATATAATGCTATAATATACAATTCAGCGTCTTTGTCTGAGAAATGAGATGGAATTAAAATATCATTGCTTAAGAACAAGGTTAGGAGTTTCAGAATATCCAACACAATCTCACGGCAATTCGTAACTTTTTCATTTAGTGGCTAATTCGTATGAATTCGTACGATCTAATTCGTACAATTTAGTACGATTTGCTTATCCCCCAATGACGGTTGGGGTTAGGGGTGGGGTTAGGTGACACGCCTCCTTTTTAAAATCGTACTATTTTGTACGACTGAACTCGTACGAATTCGTACGAATTAGCCACTAAACTGGCAAAACGTAAAATACTTACGTTTTCTCGTGAGATCAGGCTGGAATATCGTCATTCTCAGTCTCATTAGCTATGTTTCCATCCAAAAATGCGAATGAACTTGATGCGCAATACTGAATTATTGCATGAAAGACATGCAAATAAAGCAGCGTTTCCATCCAACGAGTCAAAATGAACAAAACTGTCACTTCCTGATTAACTGGGGCCAAATATCAACAGCAAAAACAGAATTTGCTGCTGTAGGAGAAGCTTCGTCAATCCTTTTTTGCATCTAATAAATAACTTGCGCCTCAGAAGGCAATACTTACACACAGTGAATGTGTGTATATTTTTCAAGATACAGTATTCTGCTTAAAGTGCAATTTAAATGCTTAGCTAGTTTTTTCATGGTCATATAGACAAAAATACATAAATTATTTTGTATTTTTTAGCTCAGCCTGTGATCGTGGGATTGCTACAAGACAGTGAAACTACCTTTATGACTCCATCCATCACCACCATTAAGAAGATCAGCGTTCATGGTTATCAACATTTTTTTGTGGTTTGTGAAGATTGTTTCCATCTTAATTCAGCTTATTTGAATTCCTACAATATCACATAATTTTTATTAACTTGTTTTGATTGTATGACCTTCTGTGTGCCCCTGCAGATGCCTAAAAGAGACTTGGCTGACAAGAACGTGGTAGTACTTTTTGGAATCCATATTGTTTCCATTTCATCTTGTTATTTTTAATACTTTTGTAACACTGTTTCTGTTATTTTGATCTGTGCAGAGGTTTGAACTATTCAGCAGATTGGAAGGCATTACGGTATTTTTCAACACTGGTCACATGATCAAAGTTGGTAGAACTTCCAGCATAACAGAGGAATTTATATTTGATGACAATGATAAACTCATTGCAGCAACAATGTGGCAAGATCAAGAAAATAGATATTTCGGTGGATTCAAATTTGAGGTCGCCAACAGTGATGGTACAGTAAAAACATATTCTGCCAAGTGTACAGATCTGTCTGAGCCTGTGAAGATTGATGTGAAGTCTGGAAAATGTTACGGCGTTACAGCAAGATGTGGAAAACGTGGACTCCAAGCGTTCGGATTCTACTTTATTTAGATTCTCAATAATGAAAGAAACAATGCAGAGATGAAATGCTAAACAGTGAAGTTAATGCATGAATCAGATTTATATTTACGGTAGTGTAGTATAGTGTGAGATTTGAATCAATACATAATACTTGTGCATGTTTTCAGAATCTAAAATTAGGGATTCATTGTAACGTACAATGTTGGTTTAGAAAAGCAACTGATTTTTGTTGTGTTTGATGTGTTGTTTTTAGTTCATTCATTTAATCGTTTCATTTAATCAAATAATCATGTATAATTAGTCATTTATATATTTTTCATTTGATTATTTTTGGAATTTAATTATTTAGATTAATTATTTAGGTTATTAAAAGTTTACATGAACTCGAAGTTGTTGAGGCTTTTCAGTGTGTTGATGTACTTCAGACTAAAACAGAATATTGAGGAGTGGAGCTTTCTTTTTGCAAATAATTTAAATTTTCTGGTATCACTCCATGAAAGGGCTAGTCTCTTGAAGCCAACTAACAGTAAGAGCGGTGTGGTTAAGAATAATGTAAAAAAAAATAAATTAATCTGAGGATTAACTTGCATGGATTAAAGGTGCAGTAGGTGATCTGCCAAAATGCTAACCGCTTAGCATATTATCTTTGGACAGCGGGAAGAGACTGTGATTCAAAGCCAAGCCTCCTGAACACGCGCACTGCATCACAAGAGCCGACAACCTACTAGTTTATGTTATTCGCCAGTTAGAAATGTTACAGTTATTTAGTGTTTGGCCAGCAATGTGCAAGAATTTCATTTATTACTAAGCCACACTTACATGCTATTTCAGAGTGAATATTCCGTGTAGCATGGTAAACAGTGTAAGAAGGCTGTCAGTGTTCAAAAATGGATAGAAAATAGTCACATCAATCTTTCGTCTGGAGATTTCAGTGGCTGAACAACACATCTGTGAATATAAGCGATTCATAACACAACACAACCACACAACAGAACATTACCTGTCTAACAGTAATACTTCAGCCATGGTGTCGTCCTTCCTCCAGCGTGCAAAACTAACTCCAATAATGATTCAGGATTTTCAAAAGTTTCAATTCAGCAATTGATTTCACCGCGACTGTGATTGTCTTGTGTGCACGTGAACACACAGCCCTGGTGCAGGCAGGCACACATGAATGGCGGATCTGCGTGAACAGATGCGCAAAAGCTCGTATCTGCATTTGTTAACAGACAGTTTGAGCTACTTACTGTATCAGAATTATGTAAGATGGCGGCATTTTTAATAAAACATTTTTTTAGTTTTATGCCTTATCCAGAATAAACAATACATATAAACACATTTAGATCATTTACTTTAATCAGTACTGTTGGACTGAAGAGACTTTCAACCAGCACAACAAAAAATGTTTCTAAAGACAATCACCTAGTGCACATTTAATCAGTTCACCTAAATAAGAACATAATAATTTATGGTAGCAAAATAAACATTGTTAATTTGATTTCACATGACACTGGACAATGTACAATGTAATGTAATATCACTGGACAATGTTGCAAAACTACATTATAAATAAAACTACTGGTCAAAGTGAAACATATAGGCTTACTAAGATTCAATCAACACTTTTTAAAGTCATCATTACTTTTATCAGTCAATATTTATTTATTTATTAACATATAATCAGTAGTGGAAAGAGTAACATTACTTGCCTAAAAATGGAGTGCCAGATCTACAGTGGTGTAAAGTAACTAATTACAAATACTCAAATTACTGTAATTGAGTAGTTTTACTCAGAAATTGTAATTTACTAAGTAGTTTTTTAAATGTGTACTTTTACTCTTCCTTGAGTCCATTTTTAGTGCAGCATCAGTACTTTTACTCCACTACTTTCCTTCTATCTGCAGTCAATGCACTATTTTTTTCTTGTCAATGAGGATTAGAAAAATCAATTCTGTGATTCCTGCCTAATTAAATCACACATAAAGTAGAAGGTAAATCGCATCATAATTAACTACCTCTTGACATGGGCGATTAAAAATTGCAGCCAACTGTTTAGAAGCATTAAAAGTGTTCAAGAAGATTTTAAAAATTTGTACACGCATTGACCTAGAGACTGTTTAGATGCATGTTACTGATGAGAAGAGGACGGATGTTTACTGTATGATGACCAAAATGGCCTTAAACACCCAGCAGGCACAAGACGTCAACATGATGTTAGAATGAAGATGTACCCCAGTGTTGTGGAGATGTTGCATTTTGTTTGGAAATGAAAATCATGTTGACGTCAGAGCTCAATTTAGGTCAACGTCAAACCTTAAAACAACTAAATATCAACATCTAATGATGACGATGTGGGGACATTACCAGTATGACATCTTTCACTCGTTGGATTTTGGTTGCCATTCCTGATGAATAAATGTCAGTATTTGACTTCAATATGACAGTGGTTTAAGATGTTGGCTCTGTTGTATTTTGGTCACTTTCCAACACAACCTAAAGTCAACCAAATATCAACGTCATTTGACGTCATTATTAGACATCAAAATAACTTCGTCCTTAGACGTTGGCTAGACATTGAATTTTGGTCACCTGACATCACAACCTAAATCTAACCTAATATTAATGTGTTATGACGATGTGTGCCTGCTGAGCAATAACTAAATGCACTACAGAATGTTACATTTACGCACACCTGCACAAATCACATTGTAAACGCATCAACTTTTAACAGCATAATACTTACTACTCTACTTACACTACATTTTTAGGCAAGTAATGGTACTTTTACTTGTAAAAAGTACTTAAGAGTAGTGAGTATTACGTTTTGTAAAGCTAATGCATTTACATGTAATTGGATGTGTTTAAACGTAACATTCTGTAGTGCATTTGGGTACTGCTTAGCAGGCATACAACATCATAAGACGTTAATATTATGTTAGATTTAGGTTGTGATGTCAGGTGACCAAAACTCAATGTCTAGCCAGTGTCTAAAATCAATGCTACTTTAACATCCAATAACGATATGAAATTATGTTGATATTTTGTTGATTTTAGGTTGTGTTAGAAAGTGTCTAAAATCCAACATCGAGTCAACATCTTAAACCAGTGTCATACTGATGTCAAATACTGACATTTATTTGTCAGGTATGGCAACCAAAATCCAACGTCTGATAGACGTCATAGTGGTAACATCCACACAACTTCAAGTTGTAACATCTGTAAGAAATGAGTCTGCCTCGACCCAACTTCCACTGTAAATGGTGAATTGATGCTCATTTCCCAAAAGGGCTGACTTTTGAGAGAAAAGAGAAGTCAAAAGGGTCTTGTCTCTGCATTGTTTGAGGTGACTACATCTCGACCAAATGGTAACAATTGTAGAATGGGGATGGGTGTGGTGCACAAAGAACCATCTCTTCAATGGTGTTGAAACTGCATTAACATGGAGAGATAGGGAGAACAGCTGGGTCAACAGCCAAGGAGCAACTTCATTAACATCTAAAGGCAACATCAAAAACAGTATAAAGGTTTGAGTTTAAGAATGTTCAGGGTTCATTCTGACTCCAGTGAACCCAAGGTACTGCCATGTATTTTGAGACTGCTATGCTGAATAAACATCTTCATTGAGATTTTCTTCGGCATCATAATTTTTTTTTAAACATCAATAGAAGTTGATTTTCGGTTGGACGTTGGACATTGACGACAGCCTGACGTCAAACAGATTTTCATTTCCAAACAAAATGCAACATCCCCACGACTTTGGGGTACAATGTTGATCTGATGTCATGTTGACATCTTGTGCCTGACATCTTTTCTAATCTCCATAGACAAGAAAAAAAAAACAAAGTAGTGGCTGCAGGTTGAAGGAAAGTAGTGGAGTAAAAGTACCAATACAGCACTAAAAATGTACTCAAGGTAAAGTAAAAGTACACACTTCTAAAACTACTTAAGAAGTAAATTACAGTTCCTAAGGAAAAACTACTCAATTACAGTGATTTAAGTATTTGTAATTAGTTACTTTACACCACTGCATATAATGCAGTTTTGGTCATACAGGTACCAATTTATAACAGGCTTGTGGGTTTAAAAAGCTGTGCTTCCTGCTTGTTCAGATACAAAACAAACTATTATTTCCTTAAATTGTCCAGTGTTGGACAATTATTATATTCAATTCAATTCACCTTTATTTATAAAGTGCTTTTACAATGTAAATTGTGTCAAAGCAGCTTCACCTAAAAGATCATAGTAAATTGGAACAGTGTACTTCAGTATTTAGTGTTTAAGTTCAGTTCAGCTCAGTTCAGTGTGGTTTAATAATCACTACTGAGGACCTAAACACTGAAGAGCAAATCCATTGATGCGTAGCTCTATCGATCCCAAACCATGCAAGCTAGAGGCAACAGCGGAGAGGGAAAAAAACTTCACCAATTGGCAAAAGTGAAGAAAAATAACCTTGAGAGAAACCAGACTCAGTTGGGCACGATCATTTTTTGATCGTCTTTAAGTTAGATTTAAAAGCATCCAATGGAGCAGAAACCTGATGTTCAGAGGGAGCCTGTTCCAGAGCTTTGGGGCCGCAACACAGAAAGCTTGTTCACCTTTTGATTTGCAGCGAGACCGAGGGACCGACAAAATAAACTGCTCATGATATCTTAATGGTCTACAAGCTGTATGAGGCCTAATAAGTTGACTGACATAGGCTGGGGCAGAATTGTGCAATGCTTTATAAGTAAAAAAAATAATAAAATCAACTCTGAAATTTATAGGAAGCCAGTGCAATGAGGCGAGGACAGGGGAGATCTTTTCTTAGTTCCTTTTATTAATATGGCAGCTACATTCTAGACCAACTGTAACCAAGAGAGTGTTGACTGAGTAGACCAATGTACAAGGAGTTGCAGTAGTCTAACCGAGAGGACATAAAAGCATGTGTTACGATTTATAAATCTTTTTTTTTTTTTTAGAAATACAGAATTATCTGAATACCACGACTGCAGCAAAATAAATAAATAAATAAAATAAATAATAATAATAATAATAATAATAATAAAATAAAAAACGCTGCTTTTAAATGAAATTAAATATTTTGTATTCACAATAATATGAGACCAAGTAAAGATTATAATAAAAAGTGATGTATGGGGCAATATTTGACAATATTTTTGTATTTGATAAAAAATAATACATTGTCGCCTTGGAATTAAGGTTCTATTTGCGTTCTGAATGCTTTTGAGATATTGAGCTATCCAAGTTTTGGCATTCCATAACAAACAGTATATGTGTAACATTTTTTTTTTTTTTTTTTATAAAACGTTTTCAAATTTAAACATCCCATAACGTAAATAAGTCATTTAATAAAAATATGTCAATAACTCATTTTTGACAAAAATGTTAAATACAACCTTTTAAGGTGACGACATTATTATTAATTCATGTATTAGATTACATAATATAAAGAATTGCGTTTTTTTTTTTTTTTTTTTTTGTAGTACATGTTGTTAGTTAGTACATGTTAGTACAACCGTGTTTAAACATGCAAAATATGTGCATGAAATATGAATTCATTTGCATGAATAAATCTGACGTAGCAAAAAATCAGGCTCAGAATTCTTGTTTTGAATGCTTGACCTTTGTATTATAATTCATCCATGTATTCATTTTCTTTTTGGCTTAGTCCCTTTATTAATCTGGGGTCGCCACAGCGGAATGAACCACCTTGTATTATAATTCAACAGACAAAAAGTTCATAAAGCAACAAAATAAACAGTAAAAGAAAGTATTTTGGAATTTTTCCCCTTTCGTTGGACTGAAAAAAAAAATGAAAAGCCTAAAATCTTAAAATGAACGTGCATGAACAAAGTGTTTTACCTTGAGTCTGTGAAACATCACAAAACTTAAATAATAATTAAAATAACAGATACACATACTGTACATTTAAAGCACATATTATTTTTAATTAAGAGCTTATAAATCAAAATAATTCACGGAAACGAAGGAAGGACTATGCATTGGAGACAATGCCATTGGAATTGATTTATAAATATCAAAATAGTAAAAAATCGATCTCTTTGTTGTCTTGAATCAGACTAGGGATGTGTCTGCCGTTTCAGGCATTGTTGATGACATTTGCAAGTACCCACTTCTGTGCCAAGGGGGACTTTTATTTTGACACCTCACCTGCACATGCCTGTGTTGTTGTTCGAGCCGAGCGCGCATGTAATCATCCAGAGATTTTACCCAGAAGTAGCTTACAGCAGCGTCAAGCATTTTTGCAGAAAGTTGTTGTTTTAACATCGACGTTGTGGTTGTGTGGTTGAGATGGAGGCGCTGCTGAAGAGAGAGCTGGCCACATCTGTCCTGAAGAGCACTGGTCATTCAGGAGGAGGCTGCATCAGTGAAGGCCAGAGCTATGACACGGACACGGGAAGAGTGTTCGTTAAGATCAACCACAAGAACGAGGTGCTCTCTCGTTGATCTAATTTTATTAAACATTTTTGCATTTATGCAGGAATAGCTTTGTTATGGATGTGACAGATGTGAAATTGCCACTTGTGTGACTTTGGTAAAATTAAATTGTTTAAAAACTTTAACAGAGGCTTGAATATGTCTGAAGTACTGTAAAATACTTGCTTACACAAAAACATAGAAACGGTTTCGATTTTGTTGAAAACTTTATTTTTTCCATGGGAAGGTTGACATTTGCATGGAATTGCTCATATACATTTTATAGGCAAATGTGCAAATAGTAATTTATGCAGTGCTATTTCTGTCATTTCATCTGTTACTATTTTAAAGAACATCATTAACCAATAATTTGCACATTTACATTGTCATTTATTTATTTTAACTATTTGAAGTAGGGCTGTATGATGGTTCTTTCAATATAACATTAGGAGAAAATGCTATTTTATTAGCTCTTTAAAAAAACAACTTATATATATATATATAAAATTATAAAAACTAAAATAAACAGGTAATTAATATATTTGGTAATATATATTTCAAATTCAGGAAAAACAAAACAAAAAACTATGACATAATTGAGACATTTAGACTCAAAACCTCAGCAGATATTTAGATTATTTTCATTTTTTTTTTTCTTACTTCACCTCTTTTCGCCCATAAGTATTTATTTTCAGATCTCTGAGCTGAAGATTCTCCTTTGGGTACAGTCTATCCAATAGCATAATAGCACCATATCTGTCTGATCAAATCAAATCTGATTAAATTAGCATAAACCTGTCTATATTTGCTACAAGCATAACATTTATTTTACTGCTCTTGCAATATGGATCTTGCATATGCTATTATCCATATAACGATAATAATCTTCCAATATATTGTGCAGACATAACTTAAAACTGCATAAATGTATCATTTGTTGACCGTTGTTTTATCCTTTAGTTTGCATATGCTTGCATTATAGTGTCAATGTTATTTCTGTTGAAAGTGAAATTGATTGACTTTTCCCAAATCTCTTTCTCTCTGTAGGCTCGGAGAATGTTTGATGGAGAAAAGGCAAGCTTGGAGGCAATTCTGTCCTCAAACACTGTGAAAGTCCCAAGGCCAGTGAAGGTTGTGGATCTTGAGAAAAGTGGAGCTCTTCTCATTATGGAGCATGTGGATATGAAGAGCTTAAATAAGTATGTTTGGGGTCGTTGTAGTTGGAGTGAAAATTGAGTCAATATCACAAGAACAATACGCCTTTTTACACCTGGTTTTAATGCCCCAACCAAATGGGTCTTGTTAAGCAATAAATGCAAAAAATTGTATTGTGTAAAGAAGTTTCATCCAGTCTGATCTAGGCATGGACCGGTATAAGCTTCTGACGATATGATAACCTTGGATAAAAATACCACGGTTTCAAGGTATCGCAATATATTGTGATTACTGCTCTAAAATAAGTTATTTTAAAATTTCTGGGTAAAAATTTAGTTTTTTACCCAGACATTTAGAACTGGGATGTCAAACTCAATTCCTGGAGGGCCGCAGCCCTGCAAAGCTTAGTTCCAACCCTAATTAAACACACCTGATCAAACTAATTAAGTCCTTCAGGCTTGTTTGAAACCTACAGGTGAAGCTGCGGTCACATTAGAGTTTGAGCATGCGAAATTCTGTCGTGCAGCGATGCGAAAAGGGGCAGGATTAAACAAGATTATTAGACAGTTTTAAAAGCGAGCAATTGTTCCATGTTTTAAATTTCTGCCCAGAGATGTCATGTTTTGATCCTCGATTGTTCTCATGCAGTCAAGTGATGCGATTTCGCAGGTCAGAGTTCACCAAGCTTGAACTTCGCACCACAGTAAACTTGAAAAAACTTGAAGCTTTAGTGTGTTGGAGCAGGGTTGGAACTAAACTGTGTAGGGTTGCGGCCCTCCAGGAATTGAGTTTGACATCCCTGATTTAGAAAAAAACTTATTTAGGGCACTTTTTCCCTTTGTACACAATATATTTTATTTTTTGAAAGATTTAAAGCATTTTAGAGCAGTAAACATGTTAGGCTTAATAATTCAAATGAATCATTGACTTTTGCAACCTTCATTAGTTTTAAAAACACAGATTTCTTTACAATATAAAACGGCATCTTTGGATATTTTTTTTCTGCTGAAGATACGGTTGTTCTAAAAAAACAACAAAAAAATGTAAATAAAAAAATCTTACACATACCTTAGAAACTTTTGGTGGATTTAAAACCTTGACTTTTTCGAACTGCGGTATACCTTGAAAATGGTTATCGTCCCATGGTTAGTAAGATCTGGCACTTAGGGAAAATGAAACTGAACCTTTTTGAAACTGGGTCATAGAGTGGATAAAACTGAACAGAATACCCTGGTGTTTTCATGGGAACAGCCAGTTTGTATGTATTGTGAAACGATGGTGTCATCAGCCCACAGTTTGACCTTAGTCAATTAGTGCTACATCACATAACACTGACAAAAGCAGCAACAACATGGACTTCATGCTTGTGTCCATCCTCCTGAATTTACTGAACTTAATATCTTTATTATAAAACATTTGCCACGGTTGTCTTGTGTTGGTTTGTGTACAGCGTTTATGTGTATACTCCATGTCTTTATTTTATATAAAATGTCATAAGAATTATTAAACACCCTTAATTTTTAGACCCCTCGTTTATTTTTTTCCCCAGTTTCTGTTTAACAGAGAGATTTTTTTCAACACATTTCTAAACATAATAGTTTTAGTAACTCACTGTTATCAATTGATTTTATTTTTGCCATGTAGATATTTTTTTACTAGATATTTTTCAAGGCACTTCTATACAGCTTAAAGTGACATTTAAAGGCTTAACTAGGTTAATTAGGCTAACTAGGCAGGTTAGCGTAATTAGGCAAGTTATTGTATAATGATGGTTAAACAAATAAAAAATATATATATATAGCTTAAAGGGGTTAATAATTTTGACCGTAAAATGGTTATAAAAAAATAAATAAAACTGCTTTCATTCTAGCCAAAATAAAACAGATAAGACTTTCTCCAGAAGATAAAATATCATCAGACATACTGTGAAAAATTTCCTTGCCCTGTTAAACATCATTTGGGAAATTTTAAAAAAGTAAAAAAAGGGGGGCTAATAATTCTGGCGTCAACTGTAGATACAGTGATGCGGGGTGGGCTGGGGCAAGTCAAATAATTTTATAAAAGTGAGAAAACTTGAAAACCCGCTGGTAGGAAAAAAAAACTGACCCATGCATCACTATTTCTCAAATGCTATTTTTTTTAGATAAAGCAAAATGTGACCATACATTTGAGGCTTTAGGCAAAAATGCATTGCTTTAAAGCAATCCCTTTTTATAATTTTAATCATTAGAATATCAAGTAAAGATCATCTTTTATAAAGACATTTTTATATATCTCTTTGTAATTATATCAAAACTTTTTTTTGAATAATATTATGCATTAAGCACTTCATTTAGAACAATCAGATGAAAAATACAGGGTTATTCTTAAAAATAAAGTGGTTATCAAATCATCATCATCAAAAGTACAACAGCAAGTTTAAATCCCATCCGGCCAGCACTCTTCAGCAGCAAACACTGACATGTATAACAATGTGTTTCCAAATAGACTGGATTTGGTCAAAAGTGTTGAAGCTCAAAACTTTCCTGGCTCCATGTGTATTTAGCATCATCCCTATGTGATTGAACTGAAGACATTTTGATATCATGTGTAAACAGGGCCTTAGCAATTAGCTTTTTAAAAATATTAAAACAACTATTTTATGTTTATCTTTGTAGATACTCATCAAAATTGGGAGAACAGCTGGCTGACCTGCATCTTCACAACAAGAGACAGATAGAGAAACAAAGCAAGGAGCAGCAGACTGTTGGTAATGCTATTTTGTCTTAGCAGGCATTTCTTTGCACAATTCTCAGTGGCTTTGTTTTTACTGTCATTTTTGTATTAACGAAGGAAAGTCTGAGGTTGTAGCAGTCAACAAGTTTGGATTTGACGTGGCTACATGCTGTGGTTATATCCCTCAGGTCAGCATATATCCTAATTTAAAGAAACATTCCCCTTTTTTATTTTTAGATAGGCACATTTTATAAGTACATTAGAGTTAAAAAGTTGTGCTTTACCTTCATTTTTATTCATTCAGCTTATCTCTGGGACTGGCCGAAGCACTTTTACCTTAGAATAAAGCATTCAATCTGATTAGGCAATTAGCTTCATGCTTAAAAAGTTCAAGTATAGTTTTTGAAAAGTGTATTAGTACACAACATAAGAGTCATGTTTTAAATAGGTAAATTATCAAAACTCTTTTTTGAGTGACATCCTTATGGTCTAATCTGATCAAATGATCTATGCTAAGCTAAGCTAAAAATACTCCTGCCAGACCAGGAGACCAACTAGATAGATTCAAAAGTGGTAAAACTGAACTGTTTAACTCTAGGTGTCTTGTAAAATAAGCTTATTTCCAAACAAAATGTGGTGTGTTCCTTTAAACAAATGCAGTGTGACTTGTATTGATGTTTGCATTGAGAGGTTTTGATCCATCTACTGGTTTTCAGGTGAATGACTGGCAGGAGGATTGGGTGTCCTTTTACTCCCAACAGAGGCTGCAGCATCAACTGGGATTGGTGGAGAAGTCATATGGAGACCGAGAGGCCAGAGAACTCTGGGCTAAACTCCAAGTAAACCAAATTTAATAATACACACACACACACGCACACACACACACACACACACACACATTTGTATGTAGTTTTCAAAGAGAACATACATGTTCTCAAAAGTTAATAAAGCATTGATATAATAAGGATTACTTACAGTAGCAAGTTAAGTCAAAAAGTAAAATCTAATTTTAACCATTTTTATACACATGCCTGCTGTTTCTCTGAAATACTTTTTTTATCCATCTGAGATCGAATCTTTTGAGAAAGGATATACAAAATGCATATCATTTAATATATAAGATTAATATAAACTAATAATTGTTTAAAACAAAGATGAACACAAATTTATGTAAAATAATAAGATGAAATTAAATCAAAATATTTATTTAAAAGATTTCAATTGAAATAACTATGCAAATAATCAAATATAAATAAGATAAAAGATAAAATAAGCACTACTAACTGTTAAAGAAACAAGTACATGAAATCAATTTAAATGATGTGATTAAAATAATTATAAATACTTATTATAATGTGATTATAAATATAATAACTAGCAGAATCAGGCAAAAATAAGATCATAATCAAAGAGATTATTCAATTAATAAATAATACAAAATGTAATAAATTAGTTAATTTTAATTCATAAAAAATTAAATAGATGGAATAAAAAAAACTAAAATGAATACAAATTAGATGAAAGAGGCATAGAAATGTCAGGTAAATAATGGAAACAGTCTTTACCAAATAATTATTTCATAAATCATCTTACTTTCTACTCCAATCATCAGACTTTGTTCTAGTATAAAATGAGCAATTTTGTAAATTCAGTCAGTTAATACTTAAAATCCCAAATCAGTCTAATATTGAATTAATCATGATGCTAAATAATACAATTAAAAACTAAATTGAATCCATTCACAATAATGTTGTTTTTGTAAAAAATCAAAAATGTCTTAGATTTCTTTTATTTTTTATTATTATTTTTTGATTTTTCTCTTTAAAGGCTCGTACATGGTCGTATTTTTGGCACTATTGTTCATGTCCACGGAGCTGCTGAAGTTACAGTAAACAGCACTTGGAGGCGCTTAAGTGCAAAACTGTCAATGCGAGCGCACATTTAAGATGATGCCCAGAGGCGATATAAACATGGAGCTGCTTATTGCTCTGGTCAACAATAATCATTTCTTCATCGCTAGAGCTGAAGCTGCTACTTGAACCATTCATGCTTGTTTGAATCGCCAGTAACTTTACCTACAAGCCTACTTTACCTACTTTAACTTTACCTACCTACCTGTCAACCTTCTGTCTACTTCTGTGTTACAAGCAGGTGTCTGAAGATGTGTAGCACCATCTTTTGTTTAAGGAGGGATTTTGCATACTCTTCTGCTTGACGGCAGTAAAAATTGAGTTTGAATCCGGAAAATTTCTCAAATAACGATGACGATAAATGCAAACGAAAAGCGACCCGGTGTGTACAAGCCTTTAGGTTGTTTAAATCATCCTTGAAAACGCACTACTTTATCCTCGCCTATTCGTGAGATGTGTATTTTTGATTTGTTTTACGATTCAACATGTTTTAATGTTTTGAATGTTCTAAGCTGTTTTATATCTGTATCTTTTTTTTTGTAAAGCGCTTTTAGAATTAAGTTTTAAAGGCACTGTATACAAACCAAGCACCGTAGGTGTGGAGGCACCCATTGGTTTTGTTAGTGTTCCTATTATTATTATTCTTCTTCCGCCGGATTTGAATGGCAGCCCATATAGGCATATGTGGGAAAGTTGTATAATTTAGTGAATTAATTTAATAATTCAGTGTTAACATTAATCAGACCAAATATGAAGTCTCAAAATCAAACTCGCTAGCGCCACCACTTGTCCAAACTTTCACTTATGTTTATCATGATAACGTTTGAACTGAATGGGCTACAATCAAAATTGTTTTTTTCCTCTGATTCCTTGGCTCAGTCCGATTCAAACGCACCCTATGACGTAAAATTTTAATAAATTAATTGTAATAAAATAAATTTTTTCGCGCTATTTTAAATTTTTCGATAAACCTATTCGATAAAACTCTTCCTGGGCCGTTTCTCCGATTTTCACCAAAATTGAATCACATGATCTACAGACCATGTCAACCAAAAATTATGGAATTCAAGTTGATTAGACCAACTGTTTTCGTTTAACTTGCGATCAAATTTAACGTAGAACTTGCGAAAATGGACATGAGGCGATATCTCCGTAACGCATTCACCGATTCACACCAAACTTGGTGTGTGTTATGACAACTAGGGTCTGAGGTTATATGCGGAATTTCGGTGCACTGCCCCCTAGTGGTCCGGAGATACAAAAAAACTTGCTTTTTTGGCTTATAACGTCTCAACCTTTCATCCAAAACTCATAAAACTGGTATCATTACATCCGGCAGAGCATGTCGAGTCGAATGATGCCTGATTTTCACAGGTCAGCCATTTTGGGCGTCGCCCATTTTGATTTTTGGCCAAAAATGCTATATTTTACCAACATATTCACATATCATTACAAAACATGGTATGATTCAACCCAAGCCCTGAAAGTACTCAAAAACTTCTGTAACAGCGCCTCCTTTTGGCCAAAAGTGCTTGGCCCCTTAATTGCTGCTTGCAACTATATTTATTATTATTATTATTATTATTATTATTATTATTATTATTATTATTATTATTATTATTATTATTATTGTTATTATTATTATTATTATTATTATTATTGTGTGCACATAAATTACAATAATATCATTGTGGAGAGGAAGAGTGGGAAAGAACACTCTTTGGTTAGCCACTTGTCTTCTCTTGTGTAAAAGAAGCACACACATGTTTGGATTAGCCTGAAGATTATTTTTAAAAACCATTTCTGGGTGAACTACACTTTAAGTAATATAGTCAGCAAGCCTGTGTTTAATGCTGCATGTGTATGGCACACAAATCTCTCGATTTCTCTTTGTTTAGCTGAAGATCCCTCAGCTATTTACAGATGTAGAGCTGGTTCCTGCTCTGCTGCATGGAGATCTGTGGGGAGGAAACGTGGCTGAATGCTCTGATGGTCCAGTCATCTTTGACCCCGCATCATTTTATGGCCATTCGGAGTACGAGCTGGCCATTGCCGGCATGTTTGGTGGTTTTGGGAGCTCGTTTTACAATGCCTACCACGAGAAGATCCCCAAGACCGCTGGCTTTGCAAAAAGGCATCAGCTATACCAGCTGTTTCACTATCTGAACCACTGGAATCATTTTGGTGGAGGCTACAGGGGGTCTTCGCTACGCATTATGAAGGATTTAACAAAGTAGATTCCAACAGCGTGATTCAAGAACAGATCACCTTAAGTCTTCATTAATAAAGGTGGATGTAAAATTAAGCCACACACTGTGAGCATGACCATCAGAATTTGATATAGCATCACCAGTATAATGAAAATGCATTGACATGGTGAGGAGCTCTAAAGTCTTAAAGGGATAGTTTCAGCAAACATGATCATTTACAGTTCATTTACTCACCGTCAAGCCACTGAAGATGTATCTAACTTTGTTTTATTTTATTCAGTTAGATCATTAAGGAAGACTTAGACCTGAATCTGTGGTTCTTGGTGATTCGTATAATGCAAGTCAACCTGTTTTTGAGATTAAATATAGACCTTTTTCATAGAAACCAACATTAATCATTATGCTTTGCGTGTACACTTAAGAAGGATGCTCCAAACTTCCATTTGGGAGCTTGATGCTTATAAATGATGACATTTGGACATTTTTGAAATGGTAGTTCTAATTGACCTTATTCTAAAATGCGGAAGTGCGCCTGTTTTCGCAATTGTCTTAGAACTTCCGTTTCAGTCGCCTATGAGAGAAATGACTAGGAATAATAAACGGCAAAAAACGGTCAAACTACTTGCTCTACTAACAAATGTTTGCATGACTACACAGACCAAGTAGAATAATATAACAAGGAAATATCAGTTTGCAACATCAAACAGCGAAACTAGCAGTTTTTAATGTCTAAAAATGAATGGAAGTGAATTGAGACCGGAAGTCTCGAGCCAAAAAGATTCAAATGGCTGCGCCTGCTCGTCCCTGGAGAATAAGGTGAATGGATTTCACTTGCTTTTAATGTCTTTGAAGAAATACAGCGTATCAGTGCCATTTTCTGGATTGATAATTTAAAAAATGCAATATTTTGGAAATGGAAAACAAGTGCTACGAGCCATTTCTTTTCCCCTCAATGTCAGATGGCATCTCGTGCAGTTTCAATAGAGCCTTGACTCACTAAAATAAGCAATATGTTTACCTATATACTTTTTCCCCAAAATAATGTAATTCACCAAAATGTTTGACGCACACATACAATCCCACTTTACTTACATTAATTGAAAGAGTGGCACAAAGTGAATATAATTTGGCATTTTGGAATTACAGCAAAACATATACCATGGTAAATACACAATATAAACTAATGGCCCGTTTCCACTGAGTGGTACGGTACAGTACGCTTCTATGGCCGTTTCCACTGTCAAAAAGAGAACCGAACCTTACCGTACCACTTTTTCTGCACTCTTTCGAAAGGGTACGAAACAGTAGATAAGGGTAGAGCTACACGTGGAGCTGAAGGCTGATTGGTTACAGAGATACATCACAATCTCGTGGAGCTAGCCTGAAATGAAAACAAAGGGACCGCCATGTTTTTCACAGCTAAGACGTTACATCGTAAATAATAAATAATATGTAATATTAAATGATATTTTTTGTTATGTTTTTTAATCCTTTATATTTATATCCTATATATATTCTTATTATATCCTATATATATATATATATATATATATATATATATATATATATATATATATATATATATATATATATATATCCTTAATATTTATTTTTTTTCATATGTAAAGGTATTTGCATATTGCTCTTCATCTTGTTTAAATAACAAATGCATTAGCGCTCATATGTGCGCCCATACTAATATCAATATTATTTTTTATACAAAATATATGTCGCACAGTATCAGTGTCATCTCCACCACAACACTGTAATGTCACTTTAAAAAGCTTGTGTGAAAGATTATTTAGGTGGTTTCTATTAAAATGCATAGTGCCATCCGGGCACATGTTCAAGATGGAGAGAATTTATTTTTTTATCAACGACACTTAAAGATACAAATTAAGGTAAATATTGCTTGATAAGGAAATACATTTATTCTGTGTCATTTTCAAACATGTTGTACCTTCAAAGATGTTTTTAAAAATCAAACAAAATGAAGGTAAGTAAGAGTGTTTTGTATACATGAAAGGCTAGTATCAATTCAAAGCTAATCGGTGAAGCTATCTTACATTTTTTAACAATTAACGGTTGAAATTTCATTTCCGCCACTGTCATTTCCATCACCACACACATTTTCAAAAAAATATTTAAAAAGTTTTCATCACAAATTAAAAGTGTATTCACTGTGTATACTTTCATGCTCTATTTAATATACAAATTCAGTTTATTTATTTTCTAATAAGCTCTTAACCAATTTAATATTAAAATTTAGAGCATACAACTAATTTATTTTATTGACCATTGTATAATTATTATATATATTGTGGAAAGATTGGTTAAACTAGATACAAAATGATCTTTGACAATGTCTGACTGCCATAATTGATTTCATTTTAAATAAAAGCTGTATACTGAGATGTGGTAGAAATGACATTTGTTCAGTTCACGATGAAAAAAAAAAATGTTTCTCTTCTTATCTAGGTTTGTCCTTTTACAGATGTTAAAACGAGACAAATTGTCAAACTTATGAGGCTATGTTACGTTCATTTTGAACAAGTTTTTTTTTACTCAACTTCACAAGGCTAAAAGTGCCCATAGTTGAAGAATAGCCCTTATATGTGTTTATTTTTAATATCAAGCATTGCTGACCATTGACTTGCATTATACAAATCACAGAGAAAATATATAAAAAATATGTTCACTGAGAAAAACTACATCTTGGATGATGTAGAGGTGAGTAAATTAACAGGAATTTGTCATTTTTGTGTGAACTATGCATTTGAAAATATTTGCACAGAAAAAAATATGGATAAATTATATGTTATGGCTAATTGCCAAATTATGGTGTTATAAATTCATCATTCCATTTTAAGAATTGCACTTTAAATGTTTACTAAGCAAATTTTAAGAAATGCATTTGACCCAATTGTGTCAAAATACACTTAAAAAAAAGAAGAAATTCAGCAGTAAGGGGCATGTTCAGTAACAATTGATATAAAATGGGAGCAGGTTGCATAGTGTTTGCTTTGGAGCTTTTAAAATAACATTAGTTGTTGGTCAATAATTGGTTAGTTTACCTTTAACTGAACTGCATAAATATGCTTTTGAAGAAAATGTTGTTTTCTTCTTTTCTTGATTTACTGATTGAAAATGTGTGCACTAAGTAGCATTATTTGAATATGAATATTGAATTTAACTTCAGTATCACTAATCATTAGCATACTGATGGTGTGAAACATCTGAATACGGTTGAAATAGCTGGTGATGTTGCTGTTATGTAACTTCAGTTTGCAGGAGCCTCATATAGTACATGATGTATGGACATTCAAGTTAGTAGTTGCAGCAGAACTAGCATAAGCGTTTACAAGTCAGGCCTGTTGCACAAAGCCAGTTTGGTTTTTACCCTGCTGGTAAATTTGAGCAAACTCTTGAGTTTTTCAGGCTTAAGTTAAGTTGGTTGTATTTGGGTTTTGTCACTACAATAACCTGCGATACATGATTAACCTGCTCAAATACAGATTTTATTCTAGGTTAGAGATTGCGAAACAAAACATGACCGATCAGCTGTCAGTGAAGTGATATATACATTATGGAACAAAGCCACTCCTTACCCCTGGATATGTTTTTTGCTTTAAAATAAAATATTTTACATGACAAAAATATTTGAGTCTAAATTTTCTTTTTGGTTGTTGTTTATTGTTCTATATTTTTAATAATATTATAAAATATTATATTATAACTATATTAAAATACTTGTGAATTTTCAAATACTATTATAATGTCTTTAACATTTACATTTAAATATTACCATATGAATAGCTTTAATATCTAAAGTTTTTTTTTTTATGTCTTTTTAGATGTTTGTAAACCTAATTAAAATTATTTATTATTGTCTATGAAAAATGTATTTATAACTGTATGGTAACACTTCAGTTTAAGTAAAAATTCACACCACTTCTATCTACTAATTAATTGCCTATTATTAGGATATCGACTGGTCAATATTATTAGCCCAGTAATTAGCCAATATTATTAGCCAGTTAACCCAATTAACATAGTTAAGCCTTTAAATATCAGTTTAAGCTTTATAGAAGTGTCTTGAAATATATCTAGTAAAATATTATTTACTGTCATCATGGCAAAGATAAAATAAATCAGTTATTATAAATTAGTTATTAAAACTATTGTTTAGAAATGTGTTGAAAAAAAAATCTCACCGTTAAACAGAAATTGTGAAAAAAAAATACGGGTAATTCAGAGGGGCTAATAATTCTGACTTCAACTGTGTGTGTATATATATATATATATATATATATATATATATATATATAGCCTATATATATTGAATCAACGTTATGTATCCGGGGATTTTTTAAGGAAACAATGTGTAACATATGTAATATGTAACAAATCGTGCTTGATTCAGCAGGATTTTAGCGATTTCTTTTAAAGACTTTAAACTTGAAATAAAAACGCGTTGTGATTTACATTGTTCCTCGCGACTTGCCGTTGACGTTGCCGTGTGCGACAGAAGCGACGCGAGCATCATAATAATACGCGGCATGCATCACATACCCTTATCAACACAGCTCTTTCCTGATTATGTCATCTACAAGACAATTTGTCGCTCTTGTGGAGTAGATAGTGACTTACATTTAACCTAAGTTTTGTTAAAATAACAGACCAACCTTGAATTGTTTCGCTTAAGTTTAAAGTGAAACGAGTGCGTCATTGTGAGCTGCAGACACTTCAGCTTTTGAGATCTTGCTGTCAGTGACTTGCTGGATTCACTTTATCCTGTACGATTAGTGCTGTTTAAACGTGGTCAGTGAGAAGCAGGCCTGTCAGTCCTCTGGTAGGTGATGTCCGTGATGGAGGGTGCGTGTAATGGAGAGGATGCGGAGGTTTTGGCTCAGGCGTGTGTGCTGTCTGAGTTCACGGAGAGCACCGAGACTCGAGCTCTCATCAGCAGCCTGCCAGACATTCATCACGACACTGTCAGCAGAGAGGCCACCATCGAGAAGTTTGTGGGTAAGAATATGTCCGTCTCTCTGTAATTCAGTTCAATTTAAAATTGTTTTGTCAGCATGATAACTGT